TGTTGAATGACGATATTTTGAACGTCCGGGAACTTTGAAAACCTTTGTCATAAAAGAAGGTATGTTATTAAATCACTATGCATGATAGAAGTTGAATTATTATTATTGTTGAATAAAAATAATTGTGGTTGAAGTTGAACAAATATTGTTGTTGAATGAAATTATTTTTGGTCGAAGTTGAACAAATATTTTTGTTGAATGAAAAGAATTTTGGTTGAAGCTGAAAGAAAATGCGTATTGTTGAATATAAATATAAAATGTTGAATATAAATATATGTTGCTGAACATAAATATAAGTTGTTGAATTTTGCAACATTTGGCTCACCATAAACGCGCTGCTGTAAATAATTGTCGAGATACGTATATGACTTGACTAGAAGCCGGGTTCGATCTCTGTTGTCAAAACTACCTTTTGACCCAACAGCTCTCGTCAGTTACTGAAAAGTATTTCTTTAAGTAAAAGTAAGAGTCTGGTGTTTAGCATTTCGTCGCTTAAAATTGTTCTTGTGTTTTCAACAGGGCCCCTGGTCTTCAATTATGAGCTATATTCAAGAGGCAATTTCAGCGATTCTCAAGGCAAATGCTTTTCTCGGATGCTTCCGGTGTCACAAGATATTGATTGCCGGCTTGCTTGCGCTGCGGGGGTTAACATGGATGGGGTAGGGGAGGCGAAAAGCGGGAGGAAAAGGGGGAAACAACGTTTCTCTTCTCTCTCACCCCTCCCCTTCTCCCTTCCCCGTCCCCCCTGTTTTATGCCTCCAACACAGGCAAGTGATATTGCTTCTTCTTTATAATTTCACGGTGAAACTCCCGCAGGACCCGGTGAGATCAAAGCGTTCTGGAGAAGTAACTTCGTGCCATTCGGCGGATGAATGATTAATTAATTTATCATAGTCTTCTACATATTAAACTGCACTGGCGGCGTCACAACGGATATGTACAACTTTATTTCCTGTCATTTAACCTCATGATCTACGTTGTTGTCTCATCACCAAACGCAAAGAGAAAGATTAGTCATACAACCTAAGCCATAAATCAACGAGGTGTGCGTCCTAGCATGTACAAGCTTGGAATTCAATTTTATTTTGTTTTTCTTCCTGTAATGATAAAGACTGAATTTTTGCGTGTGCTCTGGTTGCACAACAATAAACAACAGTAAATGGTTTGGCACAAGCTTTTGCTTTTTAATTACATTCTATCAAATCACTCTGTTTGACTATGCTCGAGAATTATTTAAGGTAGTTTTTCTCGTGTCCTCATTCCTGTGTAGTAAATGGTTTGTAAATTATTTTATTCCATGTTAAACAACACAGGGCTTCCTGTTGTTTTTCTCTTCCATATCGTTTTAAACCATTATTTGCATAATTTGCAACCCTGTCACTAGTTTTTGACTTCAATTTTCATGTGAGGACGAGAGGAGGACAATTTAACGAAAGCGGGACATAAGCCACTATGCATTAGACCCCAGCTGTTAACTGAGAAAAGTCTCCGTGTCTGTAGACACCTCAGTGCAAAAATGATGTGAACAAATGAGCTGATTCACTGCAGTAAAATGGAAGCGCCAAAGCGGTGCCTTGTACTGCAGTAAAAAGCATGGTAGCTTGATAACAACCGTATTTGTGACTAGAATGTTCAACTTCTTGGTGTAAGTCAGTTTAATGCATACATTCATTTGGAGACACGCAACTCGGTTAACACTCTAGGATTCATATTTAAACTCTGCTAACACGCAGCTTGTCAAGCTTATTAGAATCTTATTTACTTTGGTTATTCAAATCGAGACAAAATTCATTTTTTTATCCTAAAGCAGTGGCAGTTCGTAGGTGAATAGTTTTTTTAGCCGGAACCAT